AAAAAAAAAAAAAAAAAAAAACCAAATGAAACATTTAGCATATTTCGATCCGGACCTTATAAAATTCAGGACCGACTTTGAGTCTAGCTCGACATGGATTTTGCTAACACGTAAGATCACGGTGCACTAGAAATTGACAAATTAATGAGCCTGAAAACTCTGCATTTATATATAGTAGTGAGGGGTTGGACCTATATATATACTAGTACAACACTCGTATATTACACGGGTGCTTGTTTAAAAATTATTCTGAAAATTTAAAATTAATGAAAAAATTATTTTAAATTTTATTTACTTTTAATAAAAAATATAAATTATTAGATAGTTTAAAATAACACTTGTTACTTGTGCGACTTACATGTGTTATATTATAGAAAATTTTATAACTTATATTATATAACTACTCGAAATATAAATATATCAATTGATAAATAATTTTATTTTTCTAATTAATATTAAAAAAATATTATTGTTATAAAATAAATATAATTTATTATATACATATTCAATATGGATGTTAAATCGAAACTCATCAAGAGATGATTAATTTGATATATTATATATGTAAAAGTGATAAAAAATTACAAAAGTTACTAACTTTTAAAATACATTTACAATTCAATGGTTATAATAAAAAATAACATTAAAATGCAATTAATTCATTTAACATGACCATAAATAATCAACATATTTATGGATAATCAGGACCTACTTATTTTTAGAATGGAAGTATATTAAAATCTACTCAAGCGCCTGCTTAATAATAAAACATGTAATTTTGTCACATAAGATTCTAAAAAATGCAAGCATGACACGTTCTGAATTAATATATATGGGATGACATATAATTAACTTTAGTAATAAGTACTTATGACTTATAACAACGTGAAATAATTATAATCTTATCAAATATATTATATACTGATTCTAATACTTTAATATCCAATTAAAAAAAATATAAATTATATTAAAACCGATTGGATCAGATCGCAAATTGAACCGGTCTAAGTTGTTAAATCAAATCTTGAAGAAGCAAGTTTTAAATCATTGACCCAAATTATATAAGTTAATTGTTTTCTCTTATCAAATAGGATTGAGACTCATGTGACCCTTTTGGTTTTATTCCCAATTTTCGTCACAACGTAGAATCTGAGCCAAAAAAGAAAAACCTCGTACGAAAATATGAAGTCTCTTGTATATTTAATCCATATTATGTATATAATTAATTAATTTTTTTTTTTTAATTAAGGGAGCTTATTAAATATTCATATTATTATTATAAAAGGACTATAAGCAAAAATTTATGGAATTAAATATTCATAGCTTTAATACTATAGGATATTAACCGTAAAAGTTATATTTATATAGTAAAGAAAGTTAAATATTATTGCATAACATAAGTTATTATAGTTATTATTTTATAATAATAAGTATGAATCAAGACTTGACACCTTATACGTAAGAAAATAGTAAGAGATACTTTGACAATATTGTTTACTTGTGCAATATATTCGAGCAATGTCAATGCCCGACAAGTATATTTTGTTTTATTCAAAATTTTATTTCAACTATTGGAAAAAAGAAAAAATGAAAATATTAATTAGTATAATAAAATGCACCCGAGTCATAACTCGCATGACTAATAAAGCTGTTTATGTTGGAAAACAAAGGATAAAATAAACTTGTGTGTTATATATGCATGTTATCTAATAATTGAAATTTTATTCGTTCAAATTCAAATTTAACCAAAGTTCAAACAGACACGACATGAATTAAGGTTAATAATTAGCCATTATATAGAATTACAATTAATTCTACAATTTAAAGGATTTATTTTCTTTGGCTGATAATATTGTTGTTAGCAAAATCAAACGGTTAGACAATTATATGTTACAATTATCTGTATTTCCAATAAAAAGCATTATGAATAGTTTGGAATCAGGGGCGGATCTACCGAGGGACCAGTGTGGGTGTAGGCCCACGCTGAATTTTTCGAATGGTACACAGAATTGTATATAAGTTAACCAATGGGGATTTAATTTACATTATGTAGGTGAATTTATATCTGGACATCTCTTTCTTAATTAACCAGTTGCATTTTGTTATCCAATCATGATGCCCGGGATTGATTCGACGTGCTCCACGGATATTTTTATATTTTCGGAGGTCGAGTATGGGGCATCGGTTTGTAAAAATTCATTTCTTTTCTTGGTGGTTGTTGATATCCGTGCTCGGTTTCACAAGAATTCGGACGCGAGAGTGTTTTTGGCCCGCCTTTGTTTGGTGCTACCGGTTCGTCTACTCTTGGAAAATACAAAGGCGTGGCATGATCGACATTTTTTCTTGGATCCCGGTTGATTTTTGTTGGGGACTCGAGCTCATGACACTAAATTGAGCGCTTCGTGGGAGGCAACCCACGGTTTTTGCGTTTTCCCGTTTTTGTTTTTGTTCGGAAATAAATAGCCCCGCTAGCCACACAAACACGGCATTTTTGGAGAAGAAAACGAGACTCGGAGCCGAGATTTTATTGAAAAATGAGTTTAAAGATTGCGGAGTGTTGAAAATTTGAGCTAAGTATGGAAATTATTGAGAAATGCCCGTGCCGACCCGCTCGGCAGTACCGACCTGTTATTGCCGGGCCAAAAATTTTATCGAAAAAGTTTCGGGGAGTGTGGAAGAGATTTGGCTGAAATCGGGTCAAAAATCAGTCGAAAAAGCTCAAAATATGCCTAAGTATGGAAAAAATGGCTCCACGCCCGCACTGGCCCGAGTGATGAGGATCGTGTGTTTCGACTGTCGATAAGCCGCTAACCCGCGCCTTGAATCGCCGATAGGTGTTCTTCGAGCCACAACAGCGCCTCTTGGAA